CAAGCACAGGACCTGCTGCCCTTGCTCTGCTCTCTGTCTTTCACTGGATGTCTGGCACTTGCAGATGCAGGGAGTTGCCCTGGGGCATCTCAGGCTCAAAACGGGCTGCGATGAGGATCCTGCAGACCACTGTCACTGTTCCCAATGCATCCCCTTTCTAACCTTGCAAACCAGGCAAGGTCAGGCCAGCTGAAGGTGAGAGGCCCTAGACTCACAGCTTCATGGGAGCCTGAGCCCTTGAACCTGCAGCAGCAAAGTGGGAAGACAGCCTGGCACACCCACGGACGTGCAAACGTGCACTTCCTGCTGCATACATCAGAACCACCCTGGAGCACACACCTGGCCAGCCATTGGTGTTCACAAAAGGCTCATGCTCCAATCCCACACAGGCCCTGGAGGGTTGCCTGACAAAGGCCAGAAAGGAGGGTGCTCACCAGCTGCCTTGGTTGAACCTGGCCTGGCCTGGGCTGTGGCTCCTGGACTTCCCTATAGGCTGTCCAGTGGTCGGATACCTCCTCCCCCAGGGGCCAGTCTAAGGCTAAGGTGACCTTCAACCTAGCGGATCGGCTGAACACCAAGCTAGAGACACCAGAGATCCAGTGCCTTCCGTCCCCTTCACCCCACATGCTCCAAGTTACTGGGGACTTACAGACACCCACAAGCAGATCTAAGCCTCCTGGTCCATTCCCCACCTGCGGGAAGAGTAGGCTTTAGCTGGGTCTAGGACTAGGACAGAGTTTGGGAGACAACGGGTCCTGCGCTGCCCAGGCCCTGCTCCTTGGAGAGAAGCCTGTGGAGTGGCAGCCATGGCGGTGGTACCCCAGGGTCCTGCGCCATGGCTGGGAGGCTCAAGGGCGCAGGGGCCAGTGTCTAGATTCGCTCAGACCCTGAACTCTGTCCTGGCCACGTCTGTACCACAGGCTTAACTAGCTGCTAGCTTCGGGCAAGGTGCTAAACAGTGAGTCAGCAATGAAGCCCAGTCCTCAGCCCGGGCCTCTGCGTCCCTCCTCCTTCCCACCACCACCTCCCTATTCCTTGCCTCCTCCTGTTGCCCTCCTCCCTGCCCTCTCCTCCCCGCCTTTCCCTTTCCCCAGGCCCTATCCTCTCCCCTGCCCTCCTCCCCACTGTCCCGTGGTTCTTGCGGATGCTCTACCGCCCCCGCCGCGGCTGCCACTCCGCCCCCGCACGGCGAGGAGGCTCAGTGATAACCCCGGTGCGCGCTGTGGAGTCGCTGCTTGGAATCCTGCGCCCCGGCGCGTCCTCTGCAGGCTCGCACCTCGCCTGCACCGTGACCATCCAGTGACCCACCGACCCGGCCAAGCACCTCTGAGCAGAGTCCTGCGAGCCCTCTAGGGCAGCGGGGCCATGCAGCCCCGGGGGTGTGCTGCGCTCTGGGTGCTGCTGCTGGCGCAGGTTGGTAAGCAGGTGAGTTGCGCACTGGGGCGGGCACGGTTGCCTGGACCCTGACTGCGGGAGGCGCATCCCTCCCGTCCCGCCACTGGGCTCCAAGGTCCGAGCCTCCTCACCGAGGTGTCACCCTTTCTCCAGCAGACACCTGTGTGCGCCCAGAGGACCGCACCTCCAGCGCCTGGGCGCCCGGGAGACTCGCATCCCCTGCCATCCTCCGGACTGGGCTGGCTGGAGAGCGCCGGTAAGTGCGAGCACAGGGCCGGGTCCCCGCAGTTCAGCAGTCTGCGACCGACCGGCTGCCGCTGGTCTGGAAAGCGCTGCGCAGAAAGCCATCGAACCGTGCTTCTGAGATGATAGCTTGGTGTTTCCTTGCACCGTGAGCGCGCACTCGCGAGTGACTTCCACCAGTATCTGTTTTGTATTTCCTGGTAAAACAGCCATGGCTTGCGGTGTTTATCGGGAAAAGGGGGGTGTACGTCTTAGGGAGACTCTGGGTCTTAGTACACGTTAATAATGCGTTCATTAGTGTGCACACGAAACCCATCATAGCACATCCCCGCTCCAGCCTCTCCTTCTTTTCACCCAGTGGTCTTTCTCCAACTTTGACCGTCACAGCGAGAGACAAAAGCTGATATTTAATTGCACGCTGACCATCTAAGTTTCAAAGTCCCTTCCTTGGGGCGGCCGCCTAAACTCTGGGGTCCTGGGTGCCGCTTTGGCACAAACGCGAATCTGAGCCTTCTGCGAGCTGCTGCTCACAGGTGGCTCTCGGAGGTGAAGGGCCCTAGCGAAGGGCCGTGCGCACACCGCTCCACTGGGAACCTCTGGAAGCCGCTGAGCCACGCCGGGGGCCGCGTGGTTTCAATCCGGGCTGAGTCTGGTGCGGTGTCTGGTCTCAGTTCTCGGTCCTTTCCCACCGTAGATGAGCCTGCGGGCGTTAGTATTCGGGGAACTAGTTTTAATGTTCTCTGGATGTTCAGAAAATCCGCAAGCTAAGGAAGGAACAGGTCCGAATTCTTTTGATAGACCTAGAGAAACTGAAGGTGCGCGCGGAGGGCTGAAATTCCGCCCGTTAAATAGGTGTGAGAACCGAGGACGAAGTGGGGTCTGGACCATTAACCAGAGCACCACGAGAGGGCGCTGCGTGCAAAGAGCACAGCACCCTCAGGAATATTTTCACCAGAAATTACCAGAAGGCTGGTTTAAAGCCCCGGGCGTCTTCTTCTCCTTTAAGGCTTTTCCCGCGGTGTTTCCTGCAGCATCATAATCGAGGGATGTTAACGGTCTACCTCCACATTTGTATATTTGGGCTTTCTATAAAGTTCAATTTTTCGAATAAAACTGAAAATTCCAGAGGAACTTGGGACGTTTTCAACATGCGTTTATTTATTGAGTGTGTGGGAGTCAGTCCTGTTCTCCTTCCACCGAGGGCGTTCCAGAAATCGACCTTACGTCATCAGACTCGGTGGAACTGCCGTCACCCAGAGCCATGGCACCAGCCCATTTGGGACTTTGGAACACTGACGAAGTGCATTTTAGACAGAAAGTCACTCGGGTTGCCAGACCCCTGGGCTTGGCCTCTCCGGGGGATCCTAAGGGTAGTGTTTCCATGGTAGCCGCTAACCTGGATCAGAGTTGATGCAGAAGGCTCTGGGAGCCACTGTCAGGGTGGTGCTGACCCAATGGACACACTGCATTCATACCCCCTGTGGTGCCTTCACTCCTTAGTTTTAAAGAGGACAGTGAGTGAATGTCACAGACAGGGTCACGGCAGCTGAAACAAGTCTGAACTACAGAGCTTGGTGCTTAATGTGGAATGCAGGCCCACCAGGTGCCTCCTGTGTCCTTGAGGACAGCCTACTGCTGGACAGCTGGGCCTTCATGACACAAGTGGTTTCGAATTAATGGTTTTCAGCCATGTGCTTTATCTCAAGACTTGGGAGATGCTCTTGCTCAGTTTTCTGGGTATGTGATGTAATCACACAATAGGAGAGTTCCATGTATTTCTTGGGGCAATGATGGATAATTGAATTGAGATAAATTCAATTTTCCGTGTGGAGCGTGGGTGAGTTTTTCTTTTTTTTCTCTTTTTTTTTTGCTTACTCAGCATTGATTTTATTCTTTAAAGCTCTTTTCCTACACATTTACCTTAGCAACAGAGATAGTGATTCCTGTGGAAAGCATATTACAGAATTTTAGCTTTTCAAAAACTGAAAATAAGCCCAGATTCCAGGACAAAGTTTAGAATTTCTTTAGAATTTGATTCAACTGGGGGTTGGAGAGATGGCTCAGTGTTTAACAGCAGGCACTGCTCCTCTAAAGGACCTGAGTGAGGTTCCTAACACCCGCATCCAGAAGCTCACAACCACATCTAACTCCATCTCCAGGGAATTCATCTGGTCTCTTCGAGAACCTACACACATCACACACACATACGCCCACAACTAAAAATAAAGTCTTAAAAAACTTTATTTAACTAGACATTCAAGACCTGTGTTTGTACATGTGTATTTCAGACTCATAATGACTTACATTCAGACATGTCCTGTGTGACAGGGCAAGTCCCTGGTGTGCTTACGAGTGTTTGAGTGTTTAACTGTGTATGTTTTGAGTTTGTGGTAGGGCTGGAGGCTCTGACTCCGAGTATATGTGGATTCCTGGGCTGCGAACACCCCAACGCCATTTTCAAACCACCAGTGTGAATAGGGGATGGAGAGGAGAAGCAGTACTCGAGGCTGGTCTTCACGGGCTGGTCTCCCCTGGCACAGCGCACTCCTGGCCAGTCCCTACCAGCCTAGACTATTCATGGGTCTATCTCAACATCCTTCTACCTTTCCTATATGGGAGCCATCCCAGATTGAGGCTATGGTTGAGAAAACCTCTTGAAATCAAGCCATTGAGGGCTTTGAGTTGAGCAGTCTTCTATGAACATTTTTGTCTTTATAAACATCTACAATCTACGCGGGTCAAAATCTTATTTAAAGGATTGTCAGACTGTAGGCTTTTCACTTTTTAATCACAAGTAATTGGCTCAGGGCTGATTTTCTTAAGTCACTGAGCATTAAGTTAGAACTTTCAGTTCGCTGCAGTTACCCTCTGACTTCCCTGGCCTAGCGTGTAGTGGATGCCTGCTTTCTTAGCTCATTCACTCTGTTCCCCAGCCCTGACCCCTGCACATGAATTTACATATATTTGATTCTAGGCACGACTTTCTTGATAAAATCAAGGTTTCTTGGGCTTGGTAGGAGGGACCTAGTGTTCTGAGGGCTGCTCTGTCCTTGTAGAATGTCCAGCAACAGCTCTGGATTCCACCACTGGGGTCAGGGACAGCAAGCTGCCTTTCCTCCATGGGTCAAACAAAACCATCTCCACACAGAGCCAAGCACTCCCAGAGGGGACCAGCCTTGGCTGAGACAGATGTGGAAGTTAGGTCCTGGCCACAGTGTAAAACTGTGTCCCTGGAACCGCATACATCATCTACGGAGAGCTGCTGCTGACCTTTCCAGAGAGGTCTATAAATATAGTGAAATGAATTTCACTGAAGACAATGACTGCATATTAAAATACTCAAAGTCAGTTACTTCAGAGTTTGCTGTACCTTGCACTTCCCCGCTCCTGAGGTCTTTGTACCCACGGTGTCTAGACTCGCGGGCTCATGTACATATCTCTTCCCAGCCTGTGGTCATCAGTTGACCCAGACAACGTAACAGTTGGTCATTAAAATTAGCCCAGGGAGTGATTGCAAATGTTTATAAATGCTGCAAATCAGGTCACCTGACAGGCAACTAGGTGTCAGATGTCTATCAGCACTATACGCTGTATAAAAGGGGATTATCAGTAGTTCTCGGGCAAGGTGAATATTAGGTACTCCCCTTCCTAATAAAATACATTATGTCCTCTGACAGAGTAAAATAGGTTCTGACACTGGGGAGTGAGTCATACTGTTAAGCAGGAGTCATTTCTTTACCCGTTTATTGGCATATTTTCATTGTGCACGGTGGTGGATTTCACAGTGACATTTTCAGGTGGGTGTTGCATGTGCTCTCCACCTATCCTTGGGATCCCTTCATGTCCCATGCTCCCCATTCGTTGTCAAGAGTGTCTTGCTTCTACATAAATATCATCATAGATGCATACGTAATTGTATGCACCTATGTAGAATTTAGGACCCACAAATAAAGCAGTATCTGCCTCTGTGAGCTGTGTTTTCCCACCATGATGATCTCCAGTTCAGCTCATGCATTGTCCTCTAAATAATAACTTTGTTTCTCTTTATGCCTGAAACCATCCATTTTATGTATGTGTATCTCTGTGCGGGTTTTGTATCGTCCTCATCTAGTCCTCTGAAAACCAAGGTTGGTTCCGTTACTTGGCTGCTTCGAACAGTGTCCCTGTGATGGCTGACTTAGAGCTGTTCCAGAGTGCTATGAGTGGATCATGTCGAAGTAATCAGCTTTTAATGTACGATAAAGTTTACTGATTATCCAGGGTTCGAGTCCACTGAAAGCAAGCTAAGAGGTGCCGTGGAGGACTGTCCCTTGAAGAGCCAGATGCATGACAGGTGCTGACAAACTGCAATAGACCCATCTGTCCCACAGTGCAGAGGGTGGTAGAGAGGGCATGGAGGACAGGAGTGTCCTTCCAAGGAATGTGCTTTGGGGAGCTGCAAACCGCAGTCCCAAGAGTGACTGCACATCTCTAGACTTGCCAAGTCCTGGTGAGTTTTCCCTTTCTCCTCTCACCCTATCAACTGTTTACAGTTTAACCAGATTTGACTAATTTCCTCATATTCCCACATAAAATACTAGTTTAACCGGTGCATTTCACCACCGCAGAAGCTGATGCAGATTTGCCTGTTGATTGTCCATCCACCTACCAGGGCCTACTGCTTTCCTAAGCTGCACGTTGCTGCCCAGCCCAGCAAGGTGGGCTCAGAGTGTCTGTTCCCACCTTCATGGTAGAGCCAGACCTATAGCTTCCCCTCAGGGCTGGGAAGAGATTCAGCAAGCGATGGACCTGAGGAGGAGGAGGCCCTTAGTAACAGAAGCCCTGACCTACCCTCTGACACCTGGAGGCCACACAGTCTGCCGTCCTCAAGTCTCACTTTACCACAGTGGAGAATGCCCAAGGGGTGCCTTGCCTCTCATCCCCGACCTTCTCCACCTCTCTTAAACCCAAACACTTGCCTTCTCTGAGGTACCACTGGCCACTGGCCACTCTGTTCCTATGTCACCCCTTCATTAGTCAGGACAGAACAACTTCACACAGAGGAGTGTCTGTGTCCACTAAAATAAAGTGGTGGTAAGTTCCTGAATATTGTTCACCTATAACCAAACGATACTTTACATATGTGACTCAATGATTTGTTTTATCTTATGATTCTGAAGAAAGTGTCCAACTCAGGCTGAAGCAGAGAGGTGCCTGATCATGAAGCATCTACCAGAACAGCTTCCCAAGGGTCTGTTCATGATCCACGAAAGGCACATGCATGCTTAGAATGTCAGCGCCAGCAGAGCTGCAAAAGTGCTGTGTTTTGAGTCTGGAGGATGGTCCATCACACTGCTGGGTTAGACCCCTCTCTAGGCTCAGGTGCAGTCTGGAGGATGGCCCACCACACTGTTGACTTAGACCCCTCCGTAGGCTCAGGTGCTTGAGGTGATGTGCTTTGCAAAGAGACCTCACACCAAGAACAGAGGAAACCCTCACACCATGCTGGTCTGTTCATTTGGTGATTATAAAAAAAAAAGGTGCAGAAACCAGACATTCTCACATACAACTGGAGGCACACACAACACGCTCAAAAATTCCAAAGACATAAACCAAGCTAGCAAACCACAATCCAAAATATTTTGTAACCTCAGTCTCAACAAAGCTTCGTTCGCATGGCCTGAAAGTTCAGGTCTCAGATGATTACATGACTGTGCAGTCAGCTGTGACCGGAGCTCAAAGCCCAGCCCTCCACTTCTACCCTTCTAGAAACAACCTTCCCCCGATTGTGTACAATAGAGAAGACGTTGTTAAAGGTGGTAGTGAGTGGAAAACTGTAACCGTGGAGCGGGGAGATTATCACTCTGAAAGGGAGAAACCCCTTTGCAGAAGCCACGTCTACACCCATGGGGCTGTGATGGACCCTCAGAACCTTCCCTCTGCCTCATGTAGAGGTGAGGATTCAGTGAAATACCTCAGGATTCTGCAATCTTAGCATCACAGGCAGAAATGCAGGGACCAAAATCTGATAGTGTCTTTGGGATTTAAAGCACTGGCTGCTCTTCCACAGGACCCGGGTTCAATTTCCAGCACCCACATGGTGGCTAACAACCATTCCTAACTTCAATTCCAGGGACTCCAACACCCTCTTCTGATCTCCTCTAGCATTGCATGACATAGGTGCACTTACCTACATGCAGGCAATACAGTCATGCACATAAAAGAAAAATAATAAAAGTTTTTTAAAGTAGTTTAGTTGAACACTTTTTAGATCAACACACCATACGTATAGTGGGAAGACCTTGGAGTGTGTTACTCATGAAATCATAAAAACCCCCTTGGACTGGAGGAGATGTCAGGGCGGTCGGCAGGTCCACCGGTCTTAAGAGGTCACAGAGGCTCACTTGAGCATTTCTGTGTCCATCTCTGAGAATTCTGGGATGCGTTAACATTCTACATTTCCCCCTGAGTGTTCAATGATTTAGAAATTAAACAAGTAAACGGCAAGAAGGCCTGCCCTATTTTCTCACCAAGTGCTTTTTTATTTTCATTATGATACTTGAAGCCAAAATTTCTTGTCAGTTCTGTGAAGATGTTTGTACAAAACAGAAAGAGTATGGGGAAAGCAAAGGTCCGTGACTACGAAGTGGCTGTGTGGGATAGTCACTCAGCCAGTGTATTAATGACACGTAACCCTGAACGAACAGCTCTGTTTGAACAGCACTGCCTTCCTTTCACTTGCGGTGGGACTTGCTCAGGGTTGGTAACAATGTGTCATGGCAGCAACAATTGATCGAAAGTTTGATTTCAAGACTTCCTTTAGCTCTGATGTTATTTAGCTCACTCTTCGAATTTAAGAATGAGTGGACGTTAACTTTTCCTCCATCATCTTGCACTGGGTGGAAATGGCAAGGTGTTCTTAGAGTCTAAGACTTCAGGATTCTCTGCTTTTCTTGAGAATTTCATAAGCAATGTATTTATATCATCTCCATCCCTCCCTCCCCACTCCAAACCCCTCTGAAGTCCTTCCCACTCCATCTCAAGTTTATGACCTCCTATTCAATAATTATTGTTAAACACAAATATATATATATATAT